TGACGCTTGTCTTCATCGATACTTTGATGTTCTTATCCATGTTCATTTGTCGAATGAGAATCAACTTACTTTGTACTACTGGTGCTAGATACTTCACTTTCTTGGGAATGAAGGGCCAAAGACTTCAGATCCTAGTAAATATATTCGTTATATTTACAATCGGGTAATACTTGAAAATGCAACTGTCCGAGCTTGTGCTGTAAGTACCCTGGCAAAGTTTGGTGCAATGGTTGACTCGTTAAAGGTACTCAAACAGTTTTTTCTCAAATTAAAGTTCATAAACTAATAATCTGTTGCTGATGTCTATTAAAATTTGGTTATTGCTGCAGCCTCGTATATTTGTTCTACTGAGACGTTGCCTGTTTGATGGTGATGATGAGGTAAAACTGTATAGCCTTCTAAATACAATCATTTGTTGGCAAATGCATGGATCAGTTTTCTTTATATTTTCATGTGGCAATATCTAGTTGAGTAAAATCTCCAGCACCTCCTGTCCTCTAAGATCTCTGGAAATCTCCCCTTCATAATTTCAACATGTAGGCTAGCAGGTATTCTTACATATGAAGTTATTTAGTTATTTATTAACCTTTAATCAGCATGATTACTAGCCACCAAACCATACTCAGACGTTAGTACCTGGTTATGACAAGCTATTGCAACATTTCAATCTTCTGTTTGCTTCCTGGGACATTTCCCGAATAAGATGCTGGCTCTTGAAGTATCATCTTTCTCTATGTCGCTATGGTTTGACACAGGTGAGGGACCGGGCAACACTTTATCTTAACACTCTAGGAAGTGATGCATCTGTTGGTGGAACTGATGAAGACGTAAAAGATTTTCTATTTGGACCTTTGGATGTGCCACTTGTCAACTTGGAAACAAGCTTGCAGAACTATGTATGTGTCCTGTACTATTTCATTATGTGATGCTAGATAGTTATCTCTGACTTAATATTTTACTTCCTCCTCCCCTTTTAATCCAGGAGGCTTCAGACATACCTTTTGATATATATTCTGTTCCAAGAGAAGTCAAGTCACAACCCCTTGCCGAGAAGAAGGCTCCTGGTAAAAAGACTGCTGGTTTGGGGGCTCCTCCTAGTGGTCCTACTTCAGTTGTTGATGCATATGAAAAATTGCTTTCTTCAATTCCTGAATTTTCCAGCTTTGGAAAACTCTTTAAGGTGTTTGTTACTTTTAATATTGTAAATTACTATTCATATTATTACATTTACATGTCATTTTAAGTTTATCTCTGTCTTCTCAGTCGTCGTCACCTGTGGAGTTGACTGAAGCGGAAACTGAATATTCAGTTAATGCAGTGAAGCACATCTTTGATGGGCATGTTGTATTCCAATACAACTGCACAAACACCATCCCAGAACAGTTACTGGAAATGGTATACTATCCATGTTGGGAAACAGCTGCTCCATTAATTCTGCTTACCTTTGAATTTTGTTCTGATTTAATTTTTCCAGGTCACTGTTTTTGTTGATGCATCTGAAGCCGAGGATTTTTCAGAAGTTGTATCAAAGCCTTTACGAACCTTACCTTACGACTCACCAGGGCAGACTTTTCTTGCGTTTGAAAAACCAGAAGGTGTTCCTGCTACTGGAAAATTCTCAAACCTTTTAAAGTTTGTGGTTAAAGAGGTTTGACTCGTCACTCATTTACTCTGATTTTGTTTTGGATATCATTTCATGTATTTCAGTATGTAGCCATGCTTATCTGGCTGAAATAGATTTAAGGAGGGATGTTAGTGGATAATTTCCATTTTCTGATTTCTTGAGTTGTTGATTCCATGCAATAAGTGCTGTTTCCCTTATAACATATGGGTTTAATCGTATTTGGTCATTAGTTCAATTACTTCTTTAAGTTCTGTCAGTGGCATTTCCAAGGCTACCTGTTGTCAATGTAGTAGTTGTAAAGGAGAAATTAAGATGAAAATATAGGTTGCTTGATTATGATAAGTAGCATATAGCTGCTTAAGAAGGTCTGTAGATTTTTCTATGAAGTAAATGTGCAAGAGTATCAGTTTTAGCAGTCTTGATTTTGGATCTGTTACGGTACTGTATTTTGTAAGTGATGGTGCAATGGAATTAGCAGGCACATCTGTTTGAGAAAGAACTCTTAGTGTGGTACTTGTCATGTTGCGAGCTCATTACGTTCAAAACAAACACTGAAGCATATGAGGGAATTGAGTTTTGTGTAATGATGTGAACTTATTTTAAATCTTCGATGGTTTTCAGCCTTCTTTGAGGGGATCTAATTTTTTTCTGCATTTAACATGGGTTTTACCTCTTAATATTATTTAATTTTTTATATGCTTAAATGCAACCAATATCGAATAGTAGAAAATTTGCATTTCTAGATTAAGATGTGGGTTATTTATAGAGACAAAGTGCAAAAGGATGCTTATTTGAAAAGATTCACACTGTCTGTGTTAGAGCATGCATAACCTTCGCAAAAAGGAAAAATCAGCACCTGTGTATAAGCTACTACACTACAAAACATTTAGTCCCTCTTGATAAATGATTATTGCTGCCCAGGCCATTATGCACCTTAGATTAATTAAGACTTATCTAGCTACATTGTATATCAGGAGAAAAGCAGGTTCTATTGGAGCTCTCTACATTGCTTGTATGAACAATTGGACACTTAAGTTCTTCATTTTTCTCTAAAATCCCATTTTCATTTACTTGCAAAGAACTTTGTACTTATTCTGTTGGGAATCACCAAATTTCTTTAGTGACATTCCATCTGCAAAAAATCATTCATTCTCCTGTTATGTTGAATTTTCTTCCCAGAACCATTCGGTCGGAGAGCATAGTGATGCACATGGTGTCATTTGTTTAAGATTCAGTTGCATTAGGATATTTTGATCTTGTATTGGTTGTTGGGTATGGCAGTGGCGGTAGGTAATTTGGATGCCTTGCTAACCTTTCTAATATTCTCCAGATTTGGATGAAGATTCACGTGTGCTGACCCATTTCCCTGACCATATATTATCTTTTAAAACATTGCATTGGACCAAATCGGCTGTCTGGTGACTTGCTCAACTAATCATAAAGATGTTGCATCTACATAAATTGACTTCCCTTTTGAGGCATGCCTAAAACAAGCTGGAACTGAGCATACAGATATTTTGAACAAAGATAACAAGAACAGAGGGTGGACCTTGGTATCATAGAGAAGTTGCTCCTTTGTGATCTAGGTGACCGTGATAATGATTCAAGTTGCAATAATGGTCTCTCTGCTTGCATGAGTAAAATTGTGTGCATTGACTCTTCCCACGCCTTGATTGGCAAGAGCCTTTTGCAATGTGTCCTTTTTTTGCTTGAGAGGACAAGAATAACAACTTGCTACTAAATTTTTACTACTTGGTGTCAGCTAGCTGCTATTGCACATATTTTGCCATTGCTAGGGGTGTTCACCATCCACATGTTTTGTGTACCTCAGGTAGATCCAGCTACAGGAGAAGCAGAGGAAGATGGTGTTGAAGATGAATACCAGCTAGAAGATCTCGAAATTGTCGCAGCTGATTACATGTTGAAGGTGGGAGTCTCCAACTTTAAAAACGCTTGGGAAAGCATGGACCCAGGTAATGAGAGGATTGATGAGTATGGCTTGGGCGTAAAAGAGAGCTTGGCCGAAACTGTGACTGCAGTAATTGATATTCTTGGCATGCAGCCTTGTGAGGTTAGTCCTTTCAGTCAATTCTAATCTTTTAACCGATGCATCCTGCCTTCTTGTTCGTTGCGATCAACTGGGATAAATCCATGGTTATTTTCCCCTGCAGTTTGTTTCCTTTCTAGAATCAGATCGTCAGTGTTCTAATTCTTGTATGTCAAATCTGTTGGCAGGGAACCGAGGTTGTCTCGAGCAACTCGAAGTCTCACACTAGTTTGCTCTCTGGAATTTTTGTCGGCAATGTGAAAGTGCTAGTGAGAGTGTCATTCGGTATTGATGGGTCTAAGCAGGTTGCAATGAGACTTGCAGTCCGATCCGAAGATCCAGAGATCAGTGAGAAAATTCATGAAATTGTTGCCGAGGGCTAATTGCAAACATTATTAAGCCTTCATTTCTCTCCCCCAGCAGCCCCTCTTGGTGACATAGAAGCAGTGTCAGCCCTTTTCCTATAGTCCTTATTTTGTTGTTTATTGGCGTCAACAATATTAAGCTTGAAACAACGATCCAATTTCCGTGGATTATGAGATACTTGTTGTGATAGGAAAACAATTTTTTTTTGAAATTTTGATTGCCAAGAACTTTTGAAATTGTGAAAGAAGAGATTGTAATTTTCTTTTCTTTTCTTTAATTATATATACCATCTTATTTCCCTGTTGGATAATGGATCTAGGAGTCATGTTTTACAAAATTTATTGTTTAAAATTTTCAATAATGATTGCCACGCTTTTCTTTAGAAATTTGTTATTGACAACTCTCCTTTTGTTATTGGCAATCTCTTAAAAATAATAAAATATATTTTTTACTATTTATATTTTTAAATTATTAATTATATTTTTTATTTTCATAATATTTTATTTTCATCCATTTGAATCCTACTTGTGTAGATGTCCCTCTTTGATACTTCATCGTCCGTATATGGTTCAGAAATTATATTTAGATTTTTCTATTTACGAAAATAAAATATTTAATTTTACTAATCATAATAATTTTTTTTTAATTTTATAATTTTTTTTAATTTTATATAAAGATATTAATATTTTATTTTCGTAAGTATAAAAATTTGAATGTAACTTTTAAAAGCGGAAACATTGAGATGCTTATAGTAATTAATTAGATGGGATGACATGTAATTAGTAAAAAAAAAATGATGGTCGAAAAGAAAACATCTTTTCCTTATTTATATGGGGTCGGATGAGTTAGCGGTGTCCCACGTCGTGCCATTCTCGTAAATTTGTGAAACTAGGAGGCCCAAATCATTGTAGCCATCAAACCCTGCCGTTTTCCCGCCGAAAAGCCTACCTCCTCCCCCCCTGCCGTACTTAATCGCAGGGTAACCCTGGAGCTTCAAAATCGAGCAACGCCGTTCTCTCTCTCTCTCTCTCTCTGCGCTACTGTTCTGGCCGATCTACGCACGCACGCAAGGGAAAGATAAATCAAAGGAAGGAGAGGGCGCGAGGATCGATTTGGTTCCATTTTTTGGACATTGTTTTACCTTTGTCGTCTTTGGTATGGTCCTAACGCCAGAGCAGTTTGTATCCTTTTTGTTTTGGTCTTGTTGCCTATACGGTTGTGCCGATTGATTTCGATGGTTGATTTAAGTCAGATATAATCTTGCGATGAGGAGAATGGAAGGAGAGGAGAACGGGGACAAGGTCGATGGAGCCGCGGATTCTCCGACGTCTGTCTTAGAAGAGGAGGTTTGCCTCGATTTCTTCCTCCATTTTCAATACAAACGCTGTCTTCTTTTATCCCTTTCCATCTCCTCTTCATAATCATTTTCACTTTTAGGGTTAGGGTTTCTATTTGTTCCTTGTCATGTAATTGGTTACACGTTCCGTCGTTGAAACGAACATTTCGGTACATCTCGCTGTTTTATTTGGTTCCGAGTTTCTCTTTTCTTTGTTTACTTTTATGCCAAACGTTTTGGTAAAGCAGGGGATTTGCAATGCCAATGCCGTTGTGACTGCTTCCGAAGAGGAGGAGAAGCCCCAGATCGGAGGTCATGGAGAGAGCGTTGTGGCTGAAGAAGTCACGGCTCTGCCGCTGGAGTTTGAGGCAAAGAATGGAGATACCTCTCTCATCACGGACGCCATGGAGAAGGAAGAGGAGAAGTTACTGGACGCCCGGATGAACGAAGCGAAGGTCAAGCAGGAAATGTCTCGGGACATTGACGACCATGAGCTTCGCTTCAGCAAGTTGGATGAGTTGCTGACCCAAACCCAGCTTTACTCGGAGTTTCTTCTTGAGAAGATGGATGACATCACATTCGTAACGTCTACCATGAGATTTCATATAGCTCCTTCATTTTGCAATGGGTTGTTGAGATTCTTACTTCTTGTCTTGTTCAGCACAATAACTCAGAGAACACTGCTGAAGTAGAAGATGAGGCTAAAGGGAAGAAAACAGGCCGAGGTAGAAAGAGGAAGCCAGCCTCACAATACAACAATGTGAGTTTCGTTGTCATTGTTCTTTAAGCTATTCTATTCTGATTGGAGGTCAGAGTAAATGTGATTGTAGTAAACATGATGTTGAAAGGGATAAGTTTTTATGGTATTTGTTTTCAGGGAAGATTATTGTTTTTTTGTGTTTGCATGGACTATGTTGATTTGTTTCCTGCCCAATTCTTTTGTTCCTTTGGGTCTCTAAAAAAATCTATAATCAAATTTTGAAAGCTTTTGTGGATAAATCTTTTCTGTTGATGCATTTGTCTCTTCTCATACTCACTCATAATTTTATTGATGGTTTTATTATTAGTAATTGTTGTATTTAAAGTTTTCCAGGTTTTTCTTTGCCGACTTTAATTAACGGAACTTTTATCTAATACAGAATTTCAAATTTCTGATTTTCTTCATAACTGAATTAATAATCATTTTACATCCATATGAATCATGCCATTCATGGAGTCATATATGGGGAACAATGGATAACAAGTTTCTTATACCAGTGCTGACAAGTTAGCTTTCTGCAAGCAAGGGTCTTACTTGAATCCTATTGGCAAGGAAAACCTGTTTTTATTTGGCAAAAATCCAGGCGACCCTGTCACACACATGCACACACCTCTATATGTATTTGTATTACAGAGAAAGATGGTTCATCTGCATTTATTAGTAAGTTGCCTGCTGTTAGCCTATGTCACTTGTTTCCTCTTACCTTAGCTCTCAAGTCAAAATCTACATTCTTTATGCTGATTGTCAGAGGAAAGCCAAGACTGCAGTGCGAGCCATGTTGACACGATCTCATGAAGCTATGGCTCCTGAAGATGCTGGCCTCACAGAGGAGGATAAGGCTGAGAAAGAGCAATCTGAGTTGGTGCCCTTGATTACTGGAGGGAAATTGAAGTCTTATCAAATAAAAGGCGTAAAATGGCTGATTTCTTTGTGGCAAAATGGTCTCAATGGGATACTTGCAGATCAAATGGGTCTTGGCAAAACCATTCAGACCATTGGATTTCTTGCACATCTTAAAGGAAAAGGTTTGGATGGTCCTTACATGGTTATTGCTCCCCTTTCTACTCTCTCAAATTGGGTGAATGAGGTTTCCAGGTAAATCTATTTATTTTTAGTCTCTTCATTTTACTCTACAATTTTCTGTGCTCTGATGGGCATTTTTTGTGTCAGGTTTGTTCCTTCTATGACTGCTATTATATATCATGGATCAAAGAAGGAAAGGTTGGATATTAGAAGAAAACACATGCCTAAGGAGATTGGCCCTAAGTTTCCTCTCATAATTACTTCTTATGAGGTTGCAATGAATGATGCAAAATTTCTAGCTCAATATAAATGGAAATATGTTGTTGTTGATGAGGTGATGCTGGAACCAAAGTTCAGTATCTCTTTTTTCATCAATTTGATTTGACTATGGTTCTTTTGAACCTAATTATTGTTTCTTTATTCTAGGGTCATCGATTAAAGAATAGTAAATGCATTTTGTTGAGGGAATTAAGGCGTCTGCCAATTGAAAACAAGCTTCTTCTGACTGGAACACCCCTGCAAAATAATTTGGCTGAACTTTGGTCACTACTAAATTTTATCCTGCCTGATATTTTTGCATCCAATGAGGAGTTTGAGTCATGGTAAGTATGCATTTAATTGTGTTCCTATTTTAAAATGGATTGCTAGCATTGATTGACTAGGAAGTTACATTCTTGTTTTCTTGAAACTCTCATTATATGAATCCAGTTTTTCATCATGGTATATAAAGGCGGTTGAGGGATTTTTTCTTTTTCTTTGCTTTCTGGAGGACATAGACTGCAATTTGGAACACAAAATTTTGTGTACAAAAGTTGATGACATCCTGATGACTACATGAGTGAGAGATGATTGGAGTACACCTGTCTTTATGTCAAGTATGCATTTGGGTGATAGTCAATTGCAATTTTTTCTTTTGTTTCTATTTCCCTTGGCTGATTATGTATTTATTTGGTTATAGACATTTATGATAGTTAATTTACTGCAGCATCTAATTCTGTAAGGCACTAATTCATGAGTTTTTTCTTTACTTTGTAACACAAACTTATGTACACTAGGATAACTCATATTGGTCTGAACCAACAAAATATAAGCATTCTTTAATCATCGTATCTTTTGCTAGTTTCCAGTATGCATGGACAGGCTATTTATTAATCTGTTGGAATTAAGAAAATCTTTTGTTATTTTTCCTCCTTAAAAAACAAACTTTACTTGATCATCTAGTAGCAAGTTAACCATTATCAATATCTATTGGCAATATTTAAAAAAACGACGGTTGTATGCTGGCAGTCTAGGCATTGCATGGAGCATCCCTGGTATCTGAAAACATATGTTTTTCAATTAAAAAATATCGAGAACAAGTGCAATATATTTTATGTAAAAAATGTGCAATCAAGCATAAATTATGAATGTCTAAGACCAAAGAAACATATAGAGAAAGTCATCTAACTCATTTTAAGTTATAATAAACAAAGAAAAGATTAGACAACATTGTCATTAACCTAATATGTATTAGTACTAAGAAAATAGTTGAAACAATATTAATAAGAAATATAAAACATTTTTTATATAGTGTTACATTTCATGCATATGCAGATCATATATGTGCAATAGATATCACATATATAATAGCACTGCATAGTTATGGTGCATCGCCTCATGGGGTGTTGGCGTATATACAGATGTCATCTAGTGGTAAATTGTTTCTTAAAGATACAAGTTTTTTTTTTTTTTTTTGCTAAATTTAGAACACTTTTATCAAGTATGAACTGTTAGTGGGACCAGTGTGACTGCCATTGTTCTGTGCTTCTAGATACCAATAAATGCTACTATTAGATTATATTTGATGGTATTTTTAAAGCTCTAAAAGAAGGGAGATCAGTAAGATGTTGGTTGTGGAATCTTTCTGCTCAGAAATTCACTATCTGCTGCAAATATACTTAAAGGTGTTATATGCTCAGCAATTACTACTTGCCACAATACTACTTGTTGCAAATATGCTTAGAAATTCACTATCAAGCATAGTGCTTGTGTTGGTCTACCTGAGCCATATGTTAGAGAACATGTTTCATCTCGTAAGTTTTCTTTTTGAGTAATAATCATCATGTTGTTGAAGGTTTGATTTTTCTGGGAGGGCCAATAGTGAGAGTCAGTTGGAAGAGAATGAGGAAAAGAGAAGGGTTCAGGTGAATAATTGATTACTTTAGTTATTCTTTTTGTATTCGGCAGTTATTTCTAATTAACTTTCTATTTTCAGGTGGTCACAAAGCTCCATTCCATACTACGCCCCTTTCTCCTACGAAGAATGAAGGAAAATGTAGAGCGGATGCTTCCTCGCAAGAAGGAGATAATTTTATACGCTAACATGACTGATCATCAAAAACATATCCAGGATCACTTAGTTGATAAGACTTTTGGAAATCAGTTGGAAAAGGAAGCAGATAATGGTGAGTATTCATTTATTAAGTTTGTTATCTTCACAAAATAGATATAGAGTAGATTTACATAATCTTGATAGGATAGCTTTGTTGCACGTAGTATTGGTCCGTTGTAATGTGCATTCTTCTAATTCTCTTCTACTAAATTTTGAATTACACTATAGTGACTTGGATGTCCGGCATGAAGGGTAAGCTGAACAATTTGATTATTCAGCTTAGGAAGAACTGCAACCACCCTGATCTCTTCGAATCTGCAATCAATGGATCGTGTATGCATTCTATGAACCCTTGCCACTTTATATTGAATAAGTGCAGATTGAATTATTGGTCATGTTTTCTTTGTCTGCTCACTTGACAGATTTTTATCCACCGATTGAACAACTAATAGGACAGTGTGGCAAGTTTCAGTTGCTGGACAGATTGTTGGGTTTGCTGCTTGCTCAGAAGCACAAAGTATATTGCTTGAATTTTCTTCCTTGCTGGAAAGCATCTTATGATTAATATTTCTTTTATCACTTCAAAGCTGGGTACATGTACAGGTTCTTATTTTCTCCCAGTGGACTAAAGTTTTGGACATCATTGACTATTATTTAAGTGAGAAAGGGCTTGAGGTTTGCAGAATTGATGGTCGTGTTAAGCTGGATGAAAGAAAAAGGCAGGTGAGTGTCATTGTTTCCAGATGATATAGCTTAAGTCACTATTTTTGCTTTGTGGACTATTAAAATCATCTATGATTATTTTATTCTTAAATTAAGGTGGATGATCGAAGTTAGGTGTTGTAGTATTTGAGAGATATTTAGCAGACAAACATGTAGATATAATAACTCCAATTAGGTTGGGAGTCAGAATATGATACACACTGTCCTTGGCGTCGTCAAAATACAGAATATGATCGTGCAGTGTTGTTTATGTGCACATAAGAGAATATGATTCTTGCTGCCTGTATTCTAATATGCTATAACAATAGTGTCTAGAGGTGTTTGCACTATCGTATGCAGTATTCAGGATGCTGATCTCAAGTACAATAGTGACACTTTTTCCCTTTTAATGACAAGTAAATGACTAAGATGGCCTCATTATTGTTTTGACATCTGTAAAGATGTTTTTTTTTAATACATTTAAGTTAGTGATGGAATATGCAATCATGAAAAAATGTGATGTATTTAATGGGGTCTATTATGATCATTTGAGATTGACCAATTTCCTGCATAATTACCTTTAGGTGTAATAGCTCTATATGCTTTGTGAATATTGAACTCTCATATAATTGAAATATATATATATTTTTTTGGTGAATTGAGTTGCAAATCCATATCAGGCCTTAAATGTGCTCTAATTATTTTCTTCTTTTCTTGATGACAGATAGATGCATTTAATGATTTAAACAGCAATGTTAGTATTTTTCTTCTCAGCACCCGAGCCGGTGGGCTGGGTATAAACTTAACAGCTGCTGATACCTGTATCTTATATGACAGTGATTGGGTAATTTAATTTCTCTAGTTTTGGTACTTGTGTTTATTATAAAGTTGAGTCGTCACATTGAGTAACTGACTTTGCATGGAATCCAGAATCCTCAAATGGATCTGCAGGCAATGGATCGATGCCACAGGATTGGGCAAACAAGGCCTGTTCATGTGTATAGGCTGGCAACATCACACTCCGTAGAGGTAGGATATCTGTTTTTTCTCCTTCATTCTATTATTTATCCTATCAATGTCTTGCAGCCTTTAAAAGAAATCTTTTAAATTTCATGTTCACAGGGACGGATAATTAAAAGAGCTTTTGGAAAATTGAAGCTGGAGCATGTGGTCATTGCAAAAGGACATTTCCAACTAGAGCGGATGAAACCCAACACATTAGAGGTTAGGTTTTCTGTTTGCGATTTCTTTTCTTTTTCATATTTAAATCTGATTTTAGCATTTACAATATGCCTCTTCTATATACATACTCAAATGTACATACACTATCTTTATAGGAATGTTCATGGGTCTGATATGCTCCATTTTTCTGGTTTCACAAAACCTGAGAGGCCATTTGCTCCATCACATGTATCCAACACTGCAGAGACAATTATAATATCATACTGGATAAAATAAATACTTTGAAATTGCATGCTCTGAAGGGGTTTTTGTACTGTCCATATAAACCTACAATCTAGCCTATAATGACATCTTATTTTTTCGGCAACTCGATTCATTTTTTTCTTTTATTGGGGCACATATTTTTTGCTTGAGCATTTGATCGAAGTTTTATTTTTTATGCCTTTATCATCGCTTTATTCCTAGTCATGCATTTATTGTTATTCATGGTCAAAGTCAAAACATATTGCTTATTTCTGTCTTATATCCATTAGATCATCTCAGTAGACACCTTCGGATACTAGTCTTTTATAGGCACCACTTCCGATTTTGGCAATTAACTAAGATGCATTACCGAGCAGAATTAGCCTAAATTACCTTATACTTCAATTAGCTTTGTTCATTTCACGTCAAACTTCCCTTCCCTTAAATCTGATTTATGTTTTTCTTTGATGCCCATTAGGAATCCGAACTGTTGGCACTGCTGCGAGATGAAGAAGACCCCGAAGATAAGCTGGTTCAAACAGACATCACTGATGAAGACCTATTGAGAGTCTTGGATCGCAGCGATCTGACAGGTCCAGTGGATGGTGATGCAGCATCTCGCAATTCTCTTCCTCTTAAAGGACCTGGTTGGGAGGTGGTGATACCCACCAAAAGCGGTGGCGGCGTGCTGTCTTCACTCAGCAGCTGATTGGGGTGGATGCATCTTAGTGTTCTGGCTGGAACTTCACATTTTGTTCGGTCAACTCTGCAGCTTGTGAGGCTGATGGCCGACCACCGGACGGTTTTCGTCTTGGAACTTCCATTCAAGAAAACTTATTGGCAAAACAACAGCACGCATGGCTTTGTATTTTTCTTTTGGGAGGTCTTTCTTTTGTGCTGTTGCAATTTTGCAGATCACTATGTGTAACAGCAAGCAGCATTTAAGATCTTACCGCTGGCTATGCTACGCCCAATCTATATATGGAAACCTGATGACCTGTAAAGTTAGTACAAAAAATATTTTATTGGGCGTTTGATACAAATTGGTCCACGATAACAAATTTTGGGCTGAGCAAGTGTTAAGTGTATCTATATGAGATTTGGATTCACGGTGTAATGTAATGACCAATCTAACCATCAAAAGGAGAACGGGGGAGGTGGGAAGAAGTGGAAACGAAAGAAAAAAAGATGGATTAATTATATATTATAGTTAGCTACACTAGTATTTTAGTCTTTTCACTTTAAAAAATTTACATTGATATTTTTATAAATACGAGACATCCATGTTGATTTATTTTAATATAATTGGTTTTTATTAATAAAAATATAAAATTTTAAATTTTAAATATTATTTTAATATTTAAGTTGATGATGATAGACGATAGCGAGTGGTTGTTGTAGATGAGGAAAGCGATGATGAGAGGTGAGGGTCGATTTATATTTATGTCGATGTTGATGTAGTTGCCGAGTGACTCTTTCACTACTCTATATTTGTGTCGATGTCGACGTAATTGTAAAGCGGTGAAAGGATCGTCGATGCAGATGTCAAGTGGCGTCGCTCGACAACTACGTCGACGCTGACGTAAATATAGAGTCACTAATAGGCCCAAGTGATGTTGTCGTTCATCGTCATCAATTGAAAAATTAAATTTATTTTTTTTATTATTTATTTTCATATTTTTCTTGCTAAAATTGATAAAATAAAGGAAATAGACTTAGATATTTTATTTTTATCACTACAGGGATGTCAATATAATTTTTTAAAATGTAAGGATTAAAATATTAAGAATAGTTAACTACATAAAATAATATGTAATCGAAAAAATAGGAGAAGAAAAAAAGCAGAGGAAGAAAAAAAAAAAAAAAAAAAGGAGGGAGGAGGAGGATAAAAATTATAAATTAATAAATTATTTTTTAAAAAAAAATCTATAATTTATTATTTATTTAAAGGTGTCCCCTAGTATTCAGTATCCTTTTCGCATCTCTATTTATTGATAATACCCTGAATATCCAATTGCTTTCTCCTCCGATAGACATTGTTGGTTGTCGCTTCCGTCTTCACCCACACCCAGTTGTTTTTGCCCCGCTCGCGAGGCCCCTCTTCACCGTCGTCGCTTTGATCGTGCCATTGTTGTCACGAAGGTAGAAAAAGAGACATCGAAGCAGCGAATATGGCCTTTTTCATATAAATCGCTCTATTTTATATATGTTCTTAAATTTATGATCCAACCAATTGACGACACCGTTGAATCAAGACTTGATCCGGTCGATTCCCGGTTCGGTTCAAATATCGGTTCGGTTCCGATCACGATGCTCTAGAACCACAAGACCAATAAATCCCTCTGCGAGAGGGTTTCCAAGGTCAGGAAAACCCCAGACCTCTCTCTCTCTCTCTCTCTCTCTCGCTCTGGGTGAGTGGGTGTCTGAGCTCCAAAAACCCCAGGCGGCTCCCTCTTTCTCGCTCCCTTTCTCTCTTTCTCGGTGAGTCGGAAATCTTTTCATCGCACAGGCGCAACTCCCACCATTTCGTCAACTGGGGTACTTCTTTCTTCCTTTCCTGTTGCGTTGATTGTTCCGTTTCGATGTCGGGGGTGAGAAATCGGGGCGGTCTTTAACCTACAAACCCGACTTACCTTTCTACGAATCGAAGCTCTTTTCAGGGGAAAAGGGTATCGGAGTGGTTCTTTGGATGCTTTGCTGACAAAGATGACGAGTTCGGCATGAGATAATGGTGCGGATGGCCTGTTGTCGGTTGTCGCTGTATCGCATCCATGCGTCCTGGAGGGATCTTCATGTTCTGGGCGGGTGGAATCGTCCGGGGCTGGAGGCTGGTCGCAAGATTCGGCATAGCTGTTTCTCGACCCGGTTCCATCATGGTCCCCTCACCTTCTTGTCCAAAAGGGTAATCGAAATTTGAACTTCGTATCTTTTTTATTCGTAATCGCAATAGGAGTTCTTGATTCAGGATTATTAACTTGTCAGGAAAGGTAACCATGGTTTATGCAAACTCCGATTTCTACTCTGATAATGCAGAGAAATTCGTAAAGCTTCTATTATTCTCTTACATGTATATCATTTGTCGTAGTTTCACTTGTATATTGCGACCAAATTGTAGGAGCAGTTTGTAACACATCATCTTGAATACTGTTGTCCTTTCTAACTGGTTATGCAGGGAGTCTGGAAGTGTGGGCCATTTGGTTCTTCTATAGAGAATGGAGAACATCTTGATCGATTCTTGTAGGCCCACACTTAATTTTGCCATTGATGTGAAAAGGGAACTATTTAATCAAACTGTTTTATGATTCTGGGCTGAAAAATTATAAATAATGTCTCTTCAATCAACTATATACTTATTATAAAAAGCCAATCATATCATGCTTGAATGTTTTTACCAAAATTCTCACCTGGTAACCCATTGTCAGGGGTACTCCATGCTGCCTATTTTTCCAAAGTCAGATCCATCAAACACTGCTGAAGGACTTCCCTTGCAATATAGTTTACTGAATTCTTCCACAAGTGGGAAAGCAGTGCAGTGTGAAGGAACTGATTCATCTAAGCTTCAGGCAAGCGAGCCTAGTATTGATCCAATGAATAATCGTGTGATGTTGGTTGATGGAACTGCAATTATGTACCGGTCTTACTACAAACTTCTAGGTAATTTGGAGTTATCTGTTGGTTATTGTTCTAAATAGTTTCTTGATACTCAAATCTTTAGGATGTTTCTATCAATGTTATAATTGATGGTTGCTTTGTTCAATTTACGGGGTGCACATTATTTACTCACTGTACTTGCTACATCACACTGGCTAGAAAGCTGCTCCTGTGGAGTAACATGGATCATATCGCTTTGTTTTTTCTGATAATTACAGCCAAGGCCCAGTTTAAGTTTTAACCTCTTCATCCTTCAAGATCAATGTTACAGTTTAAGTTTTAACATGGATCATAATCATATTGCTTTGCAAACACTTTTTTAACTGTCCCATTTTACCTCATTGGTATTTAGTTAGAATGGGTATAGTGGATCCATAATTTTCCGCTCAGTTTATGTTGGAAGTTTGGAAGTGGATGTGTTGTCCCTTTGCTGTCCTTTCTTCTTGATCAAAACACGCAATGACAAAAAAAAACATTAATGATTAACGATCATTATTAGTTTTTGAATGGGTTTATTTACTCCTACTAGCATTAAGTCTCCGTAGCCTGAATGGTTTGTGGCAGTTTTAACCTCTTCATCCCTTTTTTGCTTTGTTTGTGTGCTAAATAGTGGCAATATGGCTATGTCACTTGTCTCCCTTTATTATTTAATTAAATGTCACCATTTAATTAAATTTAGTCTAGTAAAATAATTTACTATCATTAATGTGTCTATGTAGGCCTGCCATTACAACCCAAAATTCCCTTTGATAGTAACCTTTTTATTTTACTTATCTTTTTGTTTTTCCATTGGTGTAGCAAAGCTGCAACATGGTCTATTGGAGCATGCTGATGGCAATGCAGATTGGGTTTTAACTATATTTACGGCTTTATCTCTTGTAAGTTATGTTACTCTTATACTTAGATGTCATCATTTGTTGTTATTTCTTATCTCTTGTAACTCATTGGTGGAAAAATATCCATGTGGCTGATTCCAAACAGGTAGGACATTGCTTGTTTTTTTTGTTGCTTTTGTATACTTCAATTTCAAAGTGTCCAAGCATGATGTTTCCATCTCATTTGTAACATGCTTCAACCCCTCTTGTTGGCATGTTTCACTTTTGTTGCTAGCCTATCATGTATACCATTTGTGTTTCAGCCTGAAAATTCTTATTGAAGTTACCTAAGACTGAAGGGTTGCAGTATCCATGGAACTCGGTGGCATCTATAGAAGCTTCTAGATTATTAAGTCTCCTTTTGTGCCTTTTGGCAGGACCAATTTCTCCTGGTTTATCTAAGCTGTTCTCAGTCCCTTTTATGCTGATCCTAGAGATTAAATGGGAATTCGTGGCTGCCAAGAATGGGATTCCTGCTAAGATGAGCATTCTTTTTTGTTTTCTTTTTGAATTTCATGACATATTTTGTTATTGACAAAAGGATGGTTGATGGTAAGCTGGATCAGAATTTGTAAAATAATTATGACTACAAGTTAACATGTCCATCAAATGATTACGTGTCTTATGATTCATTATTGCTAGTTAAATCTTTTTCTTGCCTACTAATAGTTTGTGCTAAGTTAGAAACCTGTTTGTTATCTGATTTTCTGCTTATTACGACAGAGAGGTAATTAGTGGTTAAATTCTACATAGGCTAGGTTTGACCAGTTCCCACGTGTCTCTATTTTTATACATATGGAACTACTTCAACTGAAGTTATATCTTTTAAGTAAAATTGTTTTTGGTATTAATTGAAGTGTTCTTCATGATGTGATACTGGTCTCTGTTTTTTTTTTTGCAGCTTTTAGACGTGTTGGAATTTGTTCCTTCTCATGTTGCGGTATGTTTACACAATCTAAATTATTTTAATAAATTTTCATGTTTCATGTTTCATATTTCATATCATGGTATGTTAAATTTGGCTCTTCTTGAGAATCCATTAACATTTTTATTGTATAGTTTTTAACTATTGAGTTTCCTGTACTTCAGCTTTTTTTTGGTTAACTGATATTGAGTAAAGATCATATAGGATTTAAATCAAGTGGGACTTTGTTTATTACAGTATATATGCCTTTTTTTCTTTAAGAGTTAATTTATCTACTGATAGGGATAGCTTTTTTTAATATCTGGCTCTTCACCTCAACCACAAAATTTTATCTCGTACATGCAATCAAATATGAGGTTCTTATTATGACATGGCGTACTCATTAGGGTTTTAAAGGTCGTCTCAGATGAAGTGGCATGCATTTGAGGTGTCACTTCGAATATATTTGATATGGTGGAATAGAAGCCATAATGTTCCAGAGAGTGGTAGCTTTGGATGTTCTTTTTACCTGTTCTATCTGAAAACACAAGCTCTTGTCATTGTTCCCATTCTCACAAACTTTGGTTACTTATAAAAAGTAAATAACCACTGAATCTAAGAAAATTCTTTT